TCTCTGGAAAATCTGTCATGCGTAGCACCTACTGACTAGGCATGACAAAGCGTAGCACCTGTCGGTCAGGCATGACTTGACATCTCCACCGAAGCTCTGTGCAAGATGAAGCTGCTCCACCTCCTTCCTTTGACTTCCAGCGCTGCTCCACAAATGTTGCTACCAACGCAGTACCACCATCGTCCGATCTGGACTACCAGATCTTAGGGTTTCCCCTGAAGCAGCACGAGTGAGTCGACAGAAGTTACACGACGATGCCTTCATGAAGGTAACGACACAAAACACCGTCATCGTCCGCCATCGGCTGGTTTTCACCGGCAACTCTATTTCCCCAACTCGCAGCCGGGACTAGATAACAAATCTGGAGATCTGACCACCGAGCCTCAGACCGACCATCTCCGACGGAGGAGGTGGCCACCACCGCCACGCCCAGGGCCACAACCCCCGATGTCCTCGAGTTGCGGGTCGATCTCAGGGACAACAAGCCATTGATGGAACGGTACACGAGGTTGCGGCCCGCTTAAGCCCATCCAGGCCCCGATTGAGTGCCGCCACTGGACCTGCCGCCGTACGCCACCGCCTGCCACCGCCCCGCACAAACTGTCTATATCTGGCCACCACGGGTCGTCGCCGTCCTGACTGAAGCGCGGGCTGAGGTGAAACGTCGTCATCACCGCTGCAGCACACGGGCTTTGCCTGCGACGCCCCGGCGGCGGCGGCGGCAGGGGGGGAGGCGCTGGAGTGAATGGTGTTAGAATAAAACACTAATGCAAGATCATAGACGACACACCGAGGCACGATATTTGTTAATGAGGTTCACTAATATGGCTACATCCCGGGGCATGAGTACGGGCACTCCTCCCCAAGATACCGCAACACCGGCCGCCCGGGCACCGGCACAAGCCGTCGGCTCCCCCACGTACCTGTTGCTATCAAGTCGTCATGGGCTACAACGTGCGGTGCTCCTTCGTATATAAGAGGCCTAGGATAAGCGTCCGACTCCTACACAACTCGCACCAAACCACACCAATTACAACTCCAAGTCCACGTAACCCCTTGCGTACATAATATTCGACACAAATATAAAAAACTCCACCTTGGCGAATATTCTCCACCACTTAGAAGTCGTCCATGCTCGAACCTCCATGTACTCCGGACTTGGGTTGTCTTCTTTGCAGCTTACTGAGAGCTACCCGACGGGTCAGACCCGCCGCCACCGTGGGACTTCACTGCTACTCCTGCAGCTCCACTCTCCATGGCTCCACCTGCAATAGTGCTCCCTTGCAACTTGTAAAGATGCGAAGCCGTCCTCTCTCCTATCATAATAGTGACCCCATCTTCGATGATTTTAATGGTCTTCTTATCCCGATCAGAGCAGAATTCCATACCACCATCATGAAGAACACCAAGCAAAATTAGATTCCTCCTTAGCCCTGGCACATGCCTGACTCCCCGAAGCATCCGCTCAACTCCGTCAAACATCTTGATTTTGATGTCACCTACTCCAGCAACACGATAACCTGTGTCATCGCCCACATAGGCTAAACCAAACTCACTAGACTTGTACAAAGAGAACCACTCCCTGTTGGGTGTCGCATGAAAAGAGCAAGCTGAATCCAACATCCACGCTTCAGCTTTTGTTGACTGCCTGTTTGATACTACGAGAACATCACTACTGTTGTCTGAGTCATCACCACGAGTAGCCGCATTAGCACTTGCCCCACCCTTCAGTTATGGGCATTCCCTCTTTATATGTCCCCAGTCCTTGCACTTGTAGCACTGCACATTTTTCTTCTTTTTCTTCTCCGCCTCTTGTCCCTTGATGATCTGATAACCTTTAACTGCCAACCCCAAACCTTGAGTACTCTCCCTTTCTGTAGCATTCTTTTGCTTCAGCAACTCATGTCCAAGCAACGCTGCAGTGACTTCCTCATTATTGATGGTTGTCTTTCCATGTGTCAATGTAATTACCAAATGCTCATAGGACGGTGGCAACGAAACAAGAAGAAGTAGTGCCTTATCCTCATCCTCAATCTTCACATCCAGACGCGCTAGATCCGTGACCAATTGATTAAAGGCATTCACATGCTCCACAAGATCCGACCCCTCCTGCATCTTCAGCCCATAGAACTTTTGCTTCAAATACAGCTTATTGGTCGCTGACTTGGACATATAACGATTTGCCAACTTGTCCGAAATTCCCATAGGAGTATCTTTGTCCATAACATGATACATGACCTGATCCGCAAGACAAAGCCATATGGTAGCGGCCGCCTGCACTTGCATATCCTCCCACGCATCGTTGTCAACCTTGGCTGGCTTCGTCTCCTGCAAACCCTTCAAGATTCCTTGTTGCGCCAGAATATCCTTAACTCTTGTCTGCCATAGACCGAAGTTACCCGTGCCATCGAATTTCTCCAAATCAAACTTGGTGAACCCCGGTGCCATGCCGAGCCGCGATCTAACCAACCTGTTACCGCCGGTCTTTCCGCCCTTTTCCTCCGCGACTTCCTCACGAAAAAGATCATTGATCCCGTATTTTTCGTCTGAAGCCACGCTGCAGTCCGCGATCGACCAAGAAATCTGACTTGCACCGCCCATGTCCGCCCTTCAGGAATTGCCGTGAAGCCTCTCGCCGTAACATAGACCGATATCTGCTGTAGCCGAATCGCTCCACCTCTTCCTGAACTTGCAGACTAATTATTTGGTGCCTTCGCTGCTTCGCGTCACCAGCCTTTTATTACCTCTGGGTCAGCCGGCCTTAGCTTTTCCTCTTAGACACGGAAAACCGAGTCACAGCCTGTTACGATTTGCTCCATATCCAATCTGAAACGGACCATCATGCACGCACAGATATCCTTTTTGTTTTTTCATTTTTTGTTAACCGCAACCAGCAGCAGGCTTTGTTCCCTGGACCAAACACGTATACACGCACGCAATCGGCTGGCCACGTGTTAATCCCTTGAATTCCTGCCCCAATACGATTTCCTTTTCCTTGTGTGGTGCACCTCATCCGAGGAGACCAGCTGCCGCACGCCACGAGGTCGCAGTATGCAGCCTCACACCGTAACCTTTCCTTTCCTCTATCCACGTTCCTCGGAAAATTCCGCCGTTGATCCTGACGAAGCTTCGCATAGTCTCTGATCTTGGTTCTCGCCATCAAACTATTCAGCCCCGTCGCACGTACTCACGAACGCCAACCCTACCGTAACAGTTGCCACCTCGCGCATCGTCCATGCATGAGCCATGTCATACTCTGGCCACCCGAGTCGCCGACACAATCCGTCCGTAGTGTCGCGCCGCCGTCCTTGTACAACATCGAACGCATCATTTCGATACTCTCACACTCCGATCTATTCGGGCGCCCCCCACGTCTGGTCGCCGGTCTGATCGCGAGCCGAATCTGTTGCCGTCGTAACGTCTTCAACAGCCACTACGCCGGCTCAATCGCCACGTCTAGCTGATCCTTACCGACCGCAGCCCATCGAACGGTCCAGGCCTCCTGCCCGAAGTGTCCGACACCACCGACCGCATCAGCGATCGCCGCCATGCTCCACCTTGTGCCAATCGGACGTTCCCTGGCACCCGTCGAGCATGATCCTCGTACCTCCGGATGATCTTCCGCATAGCCTTCTCGCAACCTTGCTCATGATACCACTTGTTAGAATAAAACGCTAATGCAAGATCATAGACGCCGAGGCACGATATTTGTTAACGAGGTTCACCGATATGGCTACATCCCCGAGGCATGACTACGGGCGCTCCTCCCCAAGATACCGCAACACCGGCCGCCCGGGCACGGCACAAGCCGTCGGCTCCCTCGCGTACCTGTTGCTATCAAGTCGTCATGGGTTACGTGTGGTGCCCCTCCGTATATAAAAGGCCTAGGATAAGTGTCCGACTCCTACACAACTCGCACCTAACCACACCAATTACAACTCTAAGTCCACGTTACCCCTTGCGTATATAATATTCGACACAAATATAACAAATGGGAGGAGGCGGCCGGCGGGGGTGCTCCATTGCGGCGCGGCGGCGCCGCACGGGAGCGGGATAGGAGCGGGTTAGAAGTTGACGTTTGGTTCCTTCTTCAGTGAGTATTAACATCCATTTTTTTCCAGAAACATATAGGGTGACGTAGAACTGTTATATTAATTCTCGGTTCCATCCAGGACTGAAACAGAGGATATTTGTAAGCTGAAGATCCTCGAGAGTATTTAGCACTTCCTTGAAGCAATCCACCTTCTGCATCATTGGTTGGTCAAAGAGATTCATGCTCAGAAATTCGGTCCATGTAGCACATCACCTTCGAGTAATAAATGGCTTGTTCTGAAGAAAGCAAGCTTTTTCTTGTGCTGAGCTAAATAAATGACAATAACAATATGTAGGGTTGTCTCATTTAGGATGTTACATAAACCGTTAGCACCACGCAAGGCGCAAGCAGCAATCTGCACCTCCAGTTTCTCCTGTTATATGTGAACACGCCTAGACCATACAATTTGGTTTGGAGTGTCGAAATATTTGGAACTTTTGTTGGGTTGGCTATGTGCATCATGATTTCGTACCACATGGTGAACGACCACACATGGTGAACGACTGAATGTCGATTTGACCTGGATCTTTGGTAACGGAATCCATTTTCCAAAATATACAGACGACATCGAGGATATTTTAACTGTTATTAAGAATGCACTACTCAACAAGCAACTCTGGACAAGTAAATGTGAACAGGAATAAAAGCAGCAATGCAGAAAAATTGTTTAACTATTGTTTCATTACATATATGATTATTATTTACAAGTAACATGTACAGATTTTGGACCTAAACAAGGCACCCTTAGTTACACTCAATAGAACTCGCCAATGTCGGAAAATAGAATCTAAGATATTGCGTACAGATGGTACATTGAAAGCAACGTGTTCCTTGAGGATGAGCAGATGCCTTCTGAGTTCTGGCTTGTGCTTTTATACAGAGAAATACATTTCCTTTGAGGCGACAGTTAAGAAGCAGGGTTCTGTTGTGCTCGCATCACCATTTCTTCAGTCGTGGTGCCTATGATTTCGTTGGCACGCTTTAACGGAGCACATAAGATTCTGCCAATCGAATCCTGAGGGGCACAAATTCCTTGTAAGCATGAAGATACTACCTTGGAACTGACTGTAGGTTGGATGATATTTACTCAGCTAACGACTGTCAACCAGAATGGTGAAAAGCTATGTTATGTAACAAGCTAGCAGGAGCTAAACAGGAAGCAGAGACAACCATGGGACATGCACCATTTGCAATATATATTTTCTTCAAAGCACTAGTTCAAATGCAAATTCTGATGGATGGTAAATCTTACAGCATGTTTTGAATATACTAGTGTGCCAATATTTATTCTTCTATGCCATACTAAATATTGGAAGCTACATGTTTCTTTCTCCATCACATGAATAACATAACATAGGACAAGACGATGATGAAATTGCAAAAAAAAAAGAGAGAGGTGAAATTAACTTAACATAGTCCAAACTCCAAAAGTAGATGCAGCTCTAATTCTTTACTTCTCATGTTTGAATCACCAAAAAAGAACATCTAACGGGCAATAACAGCAAAGGGGTCGAACCACTATCACCATTTTCTTCAACCAGATAAGCTCATAATAACCTTCTTTTTCAACAAAATCCTTGCATAACTGCTGGTAATCAACTAGAGACCACATTCCATGAGAGTGGTTCTCACATGCAACCTACAAGTTCTATTTTCAAACAAACATGCAACCACTTTTACGGCAAACCTGACTAGCTTTTACCTGCCACACAGACCTACCAGCTGGACTGCTGGAGCTGATCCAAACTTCCAACTTTCGACACAAGTATAGAGGTCATTACTGTAGATTTTTGGATCAGAATGAAACTGTTCAAAGATTTACCCGATGAACGATGCCAAGCTTCTCTAACTTCTTTACAGCATCGTGAACATCAAAATTGCACTCGGCGCCAAACTCCTCTTTAATTAGCTCCTCACAATGCAAATCAAGATCCTGGAAAGAACAGCACAACAATAAAATACTGTATAAGGTTCGTAAGTCCTCGTTAGTGGTCACTCCCCAAGAAAAAAAAAACAAATGAATGTACAGCAACCCAGAAATTTCTTCATTGCAATATCTTGTACAAAGAGTGATATTTGGTTAAAATTATTGGGCAACTAATGCGATCGAGTAAATACTTTATTTATATACAAGAACTAACATCTGCGATGGCCAAACAACAAATAACACCTACATATAACAATGCACATGGAACACATTTCTGTTCTAACAATGCATGATGATGGACACTGATGTTACTGAGACAAGCCTCCGGAACACAAGGTAAACTCAGGATAATATATAATAATGTCAAAGGTCTCAAATATTACAAGAGGCAAAACAAGAGTTGAATAAGTAATGGAAAATTTTGGCATAATAATTACCAAAAACAACAAAATGGAGATAAATGCTACAAGAGATACCCAAAATAGAGGAAGTGATATCGCATAACACTACTTCGCCCTGCTTACTTGTATAGTTGCCTTCCCTTGCTCCATTAAAATATAGTAAGAAATTATGACCTCCTTAACCTATGTGGAAAAACGACGGATATCAGTACACAGCACATAGATATAGGTAAAACTTGTATTGCAAGACACGTTTTTTATTTGCTCCGTACTTCTTGCTGTATCACATCATCACATAAGTGTAGAAGTGTTCCTTTCCCACTATCAAGTTGTTTGTCATACATTGATTTTGTAATCAAATTCTGATATAGTGTCATATTTTGCTGAAACCTGTATCACAAAATACAAATCCATCACATACAACCAATGATAAATATAATAAGATCACATTTAATCTAGTATATCAAAATAAATCTACAAACAAACGTTAGTGAGCTACGCTTATTTAGCTCGAATTGGAAACTGGTTACATCGCAACGTAAGTTTAAGTTGCCTAAAACCGAAACAAAGAACATCAATCAAGAACTTACTGTTGGAATTGTTGGGCTTTTAGCCCATTTATTATTTCCAATAATTCCTGAAAATCTCAGAGGCCCTTATGGCTTATTCATGCATGGCAAAGGGAGTGTGGAACTCTTCTTCCACCGCACCATATGTGTTCTTCTCCCTTCTGTTAGGGATTGTGTTTGGTCTACTACTAGTAGCAATCGAAATGGATATGATATTCGTCCGTTATGTACCCGGTTGCATGACTAGTTACATCAATCTGTTATTTGATTCCATTATCATCTCTACTATGATTATCATGTTTTTTATCTACCTTTTTCAGGATTAAACTTAATGGAAAACTTCTCAATTATTCAACACGTACGTGAAGTAGATCTTAGCACAATAGCCAATCACCCCAGACATGATTGCAATGACAACCCATACATCAGCCTTCGGCATTTCAAGAGAACCAACAAGAGTGACCTGCAAGTAACAAGCAGTTAATATAGTAAAGTATTGAAATAAATGCATCCAGAGAGAACCAGATAGTAGGAACATACCAAACCTATAACAGCAGAAATAAGAAACTTGACCCAATCCATTGGTGTTAAAGTGGGATTCTTCTTCTCTGGCTACAAAATATGGTCCAATTTCAGGTCCTCAATAACAACCACCAAGACAGTGAAGCAATTAAACAGATGTTGAATACATATGGATCTTACCAGAACAATTTCCATATCAGCCATTGGAATATTTTTGAAATGCTTCACAAATATTCCACGACTAGGCTTAGCCTTCATGCCAGCCTGCCTGTACATATAATATATCACTAAATCACCACTGGAAGCATAAGAATCTTTCATGAATATGCAGGTTGGTTGAAAAGCTACCTGTACACTACAATCATCCTATCAAATGTAGGTTCTTGAATTGTCATCTTACTCATCAGGTTTTTTATGCTGTCAAGAAGAACATACCGGTTCTTAAGATTACATTTGATTGTAGTCTTATAAAACTTTAATGATAAAACTATGAGCAACCTTAGCTCAATTTTTTCTAGCCGAATGCGTTCGACAAATAGCTCTTGCTCTTCTGTGTCTTCAATAATTTCATCGGTCTTTTTGATGTCGTTTCTTGACTTCGACTGTGGTTTCTTAGAGAACAACCTATCAATCCTAAGAAGGAATTACAACAACTTTGCAATCAGGATTAGCCTGGGTTAAAGATTTCAAAAAAAAAAGGGCAGCCCGGTGCATGTAGCTCCCGCTTGCGCAGGGTCCGGGGAAGGGCAACCACTTTGGGTCTATTGTACGCAGCCTTTCCCTACATTTCTGCAAGAGGCTGTTTACAGGACTTGCACCCGTGACCTCATGGTCATAAGGCAGCAGCTTTACCACTGCGCCAAGGCTCCCCTTCATTAAAGAGTTCAAAGATGTTCAAATAAACTCGATACCTGGTAACCCTTTGCAATGAACTCCAAACTCGGGATATGAGTACATCCACTTTCTCCATGACAAAGTAATCAGTTGTACGGTCGAACCCAACGCCACGACGGAAGATAATGTACTACAAAGAAGCCAATACGGAATATAATTGTTCAAATATATAGCCCATCTTTTCCAACCTAACCAAGCTTTTGGGTGAACTGATTGGTGTGCAAATCAATATGGTACCAGAGCCAGCCAACATGTCTCAAGTTCATGTCCCAGCCAATGGTGTATGAATAGAAAATAGTTGGGGCCTTACATCGATCTCACGTCTAAGGTATGGTGACCTAAGTGGGGGTGTTGAATATATGGCCCACGTTTCCCTAATAGCTCGATCTTTTGGGTGAACTGATTGGTGCATACAATTCAATAATGAGAAGAAAAATTAAGAGTTTGGCACCCCAAAAGATTGGTATCCAAGGATTTTCCACTCCATGCGTCACTGGCATGTAGCACCTCTACCCACATGTCAGTCAGATATGGAGTAGCAAATCCTTAGAATATTCCTATTACAATATGAACCCCAACATTAGCAAAAAGGAGTAACTTATTACCCTCATTAGATATGCAAAAGTAAGGAAAGAATATAAATCGTGAAATGAGAACACACCCTTATAACACACTAGTAATCATAACTTCCTTAAATTAAAACCATAATAGATGGCATCAAGGGAAAGTGGTCAGTTACAAAGACATGAAGATTACCTTGTCAGCAAATGTAGGCAGATTATCATGTGGGTGTTCTTTAAAGTATGTTGTCAACAACTTCTTGTCCAGCTACGTTTGAAGAGAAAATTTTCAGTGCAGTGGACATGTACTTTTCTAATGCTAACTTGAAAAGCTTATAATTTTTTGAACCTTAGATTCATCAACTTTGATGGGGAGGTTCAAAAGATATTTTCCAGATTGTGCAACATCATACTCTTCATCAGATAACAACTTGAAGTTGCTCTTTTCCATTATCTGCTCGATACAGTAGATCCAAATGGTTACAACTTTAAGCTATCGCATAAACTAAATAGTAAATGTTACAAAATCATTGTTACTATGATGTCAATTAGGCGTGACACATCATCAGATTACCATTTGGTTCTCTTTTCTAGTTCAAATAATGGAAGTTAATATGTCAGCCTACTATCAACAGAATTTTCTTTTCAAGCTTTACCGAGGAAACCCAGAAAGTCAAACTAATTTCAAGCCCAAAACAACACAAAAAGGACATGGAACAATTTTTCCAATAACAGAAGCTGGAGACAATTGATAAAACCATACATTTCGATGCAAAATTAAGCAAACAAAGTACCGACAAAAAGTAAGAAGTTCTAGCAACAGGACACCCCAAGATTATTTTGTAAAGTATTATGGGATTGCCTAGCTAGTTTTTGATGGAAAAACAGCAGCGAGGCCACAAATGCCTGATATTCAGACTTCACATCTCATGAATGGTTTTGTCTGCATAATATTAATGTCACCTCAGTGTTTACTTGCATTCACATGTTATTCTTAAATAGGCATTTCAAATAATATTTCACTCAGTTTTTTTGTTTGTTGTGATGATTGAATAAAAGAACACATACAAAACCAAGGGAGGTCTTCATATGTCAGGACAGGATATATATATGTAACGTACTGCAGCCAACCTGGAAAAGATATGTCATGAAATTGAATTCAAGAGTATCGATCTCCTCGGGTGTCAGATTCTGCTGTTCCAGCCTCTTCTCACCATTAACAGGGTCAAATAGCGAGTACAGTTGCTGCATCGAGAAGTGCACACTGAGACACAAGAATCTGGGCATGTTATATTTGAATCCCAACAATTGGAACAATCAAAAAGAGCCCACCATTAAATCATCGAACTGGAGGAGATACCAAGCCCTGATGGTGTACTCCACCTTCTTGCACAGCTTTAGGAACTCATTGCGATCCACCTCATGCTCTGAGCATATATTAGAAGAAATGGAATGAATTAAGGGCAAACCTCCAGTGTCGATATCTTTTCATCTAATCCACTAAGAATAGAAAGAACGCTTGCAGCACAATCAATACAATAAGATCTTCAGTTGGTAAAATATGTGCCGAATATTATGTGTACGAGGTTACAGCTGGACTTGTAATTAGCGGAGGGTTAGGTGTTTGTGTCGGACATGTGTAACCCGGGCCTATTATATAAAGGCACCGCCGGGTAGCCCAATGTGAGAGCCTGACTCAATAGGAATGATAGACTACTTATATCAACAAGGAATTCCTTCTTTTCTGGGAGCCCATTCGAAAAGAACTCCAAAGTTAAGCATGCTTGGCTTGGAGTAATTCTAGGATGGGTGACCGACCGGGAAGTTGGTCCCGGGTGCGCACGAGTGAGGGCAGTGTGCAGGAAAGACTAGTGTTGGTCTGTGGGGCCAGTCTAGATCCCGCGCAACAGCCAGGAACCGGTGGGTTGTGGCCGGGGCGTTACACCAAATAGACTAGACACAAGTTGTTAGGCTAGACAAAGATCACGATAGTGAAGGTCCGGACGCCCATAGCAGGGGTGGCTGGACCAGCCGTGGTGGATGGTCGAAGACCTGTCTGATGGTCTCGGTGTGCTTGTCATCAACTCTACTATGTTGTTTTAGTACATGGGGAGGAGTGCATGTAGTCATGCCCCGGGGATGTACCCATGTCAGTGAACCTCGTTATTAAATCTTGGTGTTGTTTCATTGCGCGTGTGTCACTGCTTGACCTCGACGGATCGACATGCGCTCTAACAAGTGGTATCATGAGCTAGGTTACAAGGCGGTTATTCAATTTGATCTAGAGGCGACAACCGTTCGTTCCAAGCTACCACTGGTGGCGGATCGAGCCGTGTGTAGTGATCGATGGTTGGGAGACTGTGGGTCTGAATTGTTGTGACAGAAGCAGTTTGAAGCAACGGTGCATGAATCGTCGTGCTCAAGAGGAAATCGGCGAGATCAGATCCAGGCCAGCAATCGGCCGCAGAGCACGCAAAAAACACGCGGATACTCATACGCAGATGCCACATGCAAGCGGCTCATGCGAGGTAGCATCCGCCAGGCAAGGCCCATCGGCAGGGCAGGGCGCAACATGGAGTAGCCTATGGCCCGTGCCTATGCGACTGCATCAGGGGCAAGGCCGAAGGGGGCCCAAAGCGCTTCCCGTGCAGGTGTTGCCCAAGGCAGGGCTAGAGGGGAGCAACTAATTGGAGGGTACGGTCACTCCCGGTGCGTGGAAGTGCTCCAATGGCTCCATGTGGTGCGCCCCAGTGTCGGCACGTGTCGCATGTGGGGTGCTTTCCCCATGGGGGCGGTTTTTGGGGGGTTTAGGTTTTTCTTTCGTTTTTTTTCCTGTTTCTCAGGTTTTCCATTTTTTGTCTGTCATGAGCATAGAGCACAGGTGTGCATCCGCATGAAGCACATGTGTGCTGTCAGATGGACCCCGCCTTTTGCCTCGCCGGCGATCACCAGAGAGGTGGGAGAGGAGAACACACACGAGAAAGAGAGTTTTTTTTTTTTGCCTCGTCGGAGAAGAGAGAACACAGCATTTTTTTTGTTTCTTCCCTTTTACTCTTCAATTACAGAGAAACGGCTCTAACCGTCACGTGGCGATTCTTGGGATTCGTACCATCCCATGAGTCAAATCGCATGTGCGCGTGGGCTACACCATCATCCCCTAAACCAGCCGCCCTACAATGTCGTGCCATCCCACAACCAGGCAAGCTTAAATTGATCGGTGTAGTGACCTAATCAACTAGGCTAGCTGCAGACCACGACAGTGAGTGCAAAAACGCTGCCATGGCACTACGCCGCCGCCAAGGAAGAACAGGGTTCCGGAGGTGCTCTTCCGCGTGTCCACGTCGCCACCCAAATCACTGTCGTTGTATCCAACGAGCCGTGGCGTGCTGTTTCCCTTGGTGTATCTGCAGCCAAGGTGAATTGTGCCGGCGAAATACCGTAGAATGTGTTTGACGGTGGTGAGATGTCCTTCCATTGGCGCCTACATGAACCAAGAGACATAGCCGACGGAGAAAGTCTGGTCTGGACGTGTGTGAACCGGGTACCGCAGGCTGCCAATGATGTTGCGGTACTGCGTCGCGTCGACCATCGGCGCTGTGCTTTCTCTGGACAGCTTGAAGCACGGCTCCATCAGCATGTGGCACGGCTTGCACCCAGCCATGCCACTCTTCTCGAGCAGCTTGCGGGCATACACACTCTGGGCAATGAAAATGCCGCTTGAGCTCTGCTGCACCTCGATTCCAAGATAGAAGCTCAGCAAGCCCAAGTCTGACATCTTAACAGACTCTGCATCTCGCGCTTGAATTTGGCAATCTCATCGGCATCGGATCCGTGATCACGGTTACAGTATATGTGGATTGCACTAGCCCTTTCCATCAGTTCGGACTTTTGGATTGCACTACTCTTTTGTAATTTTGTACTGTATATGTCCAGTCAGGTATGGTAATGAAGAACATATTTTAGGAGCCAGAGCTTGTTGATTGCGGCACCAACCTACTTTCGGTAAACTATTTATCTTATCTTACTGCATTTTACGGCAAAGAAGAGAAGTGCAACGAACAAACCAGGCAAGCGAGATACAGAGACGGGCCTGCTGGAGACGGAAGGCGAGGGAGGGAGGTGGTGACCCAATTAACTCGCAATCGCTTAGAGCGTGACGATGTACGTATTAGCGAGTGGATACTTACCGATGAGGTCGGCGAGCTTCATTACTAGTTTGGGCTTGATGATGGGGATCACCGCCTCCTTCTCCATCCGCACCACCTCCCTCGCCACCCCGTCCTTCCTCACGTCCAGACCTCTGCCCCCAATCACCGACCCCGTCTCCGCCTCCTGATTCTTATGCTTCTCCTCCGCTGCCGACGCCATCACGCAAGCAGCGGCAGCAGAGGGTTCGGGCTAATCGTAATCCGGCGACGAGCAGAAGCGGCGGTGGAAAAGAGAGCTCGGAGGGGTCTGGGAATGCGATGAGGAAAGGGGAGTGGTTGCCAATGCAATTGCTAGGCGCACCCGTCCACGCCATTGTGTGCGCGAATAAACAGAGGAGGCGTGATGCGCCACGTGGTGGACCTTGCTAAATCATTGTGCCTTGGTGTGCACGTGGCGAAAACGACGTTTGTCGGAGTGCGATTGGGGCAAGCTAGTACTATTATTTTTCTTTCAAAAGAAAACTAGTAGTATTTTTCTTTTCTTTTAGGCAGCGCTAGGCGTCGGCCTGTCCTGTTCCTGCCGCACAATAATGACTTCTTTAAGTCTTTTCTTCTTCTCCTCTTTCACTCAACATGACTTCTTTGAGTCGTAGTACGATCGAGCGCGTAGGTCGTCTTTTTTTCTTCATTCGTAAAAAGTCGCCTTCACAATTTAAGTTGGATGCGGGTGATGTTAGAAACTGATTCAGTTTCGCTAAAACAAGTTGTCTCTTTTAAAGCTTATGATTTATCTGGTTTAGGTGTTGTGTTTAGGAAAATAAAGTTTCAGCTAAGGGTTTGTGTGTTCGATGTATGTATTAATTATTGTCCAAGGTCTTGTAATCAGGCTGCGCACACTTTAGTTACACATGGTACGGCTCTAGATAAGGGGACTTGTGAAATCTGGCTTGGCCAATTTCCAAACTTTGTATTAGATGTTGTAGCTGGCGACTTGTCCAACAGTGTTATATAATGGAATACAATGTGTTTCTCTCGCCTTATCTCTCCTCGTCTTCCATCTAATGCACACCACCATCTCAGCATCCCGTTGTTGCTAAATCCGCAAGTTCCCACCCGTGCGTCGTCGTCGGGTCACTGACGGAGCTGCATGTAGTTATGCAGGGGCCATGCCTCCTCCCCAACTTGGAGACATTGTCCGGAGAATTTATTTATTTTGGAGGTGCTTAATTAGAGAAATATAGTCTTTGACCCCCTCGGACATTGTTGTATTTCCCTTCCCCCCCTCCAGCTTTTTATGTCTAGCTCCGCCACTGTGTGGAGTCTCTCATGTTGTCCCCATCTTTGATTGGCTCGCTGTCGTGGGAATGAGTCTGACAGTAAGAGTAGGGGGTACGTAGGAGGAGGCAGTGTCCTAACTACGGCGAGATTGTACACACAAGTTTACGAGTTCAGGCCCCTCTCGGAGGAGGTAATAGCCCTACGTCTCGGTGCCGCGGAGCCTAGTTGACTGGATATGTGTGAAAATTAAAGGGGGTGTGAATCCTTGTGCTAGAGGATGGGATGGCTTATATAGAGTGCGCCAGGCCCCTCGCAGCCCTCGGTTGCACAGAGTTCAAAGTGAGTTAAGACTGGGACGTTATTGGTAACGCCTGTTATTAATGATCTTTATGGCGACGGGGTGAATGCCTGACCGTTGCCATCCCGGCGTGACTTTAGACCTTCTGTACTCCGAGTGATTCTTCATACGATCGAGTGAGGTTACTGTGGTCGAGTGGAATTGGGATATCCGAGTGGAATTTCTCCGTCGAGTGGATTGCACTTCAGGGTGAGTTCAGTCGGCATCTTCTGTTGGACTTTGTATGTCTTTGACTCTAGGGCAGTGTCCTTGGGTAGGGTGTCTAGATCAGGCCTAAGGCCCTAGCCTAGGTACATGTCATCGTTGTTAGCCCCTGAATGGATTGGGGACCGATTTAAGAAGGGTTGAAGTTGGTTCTGACCCGATTCAACGCTCTAGAGGCATTTCTTCAAGCTCCTGAAAGCATACTTGTATTTTTACCCTGCATCAGTCACCTCAATCGATTCTGGTTTCTGGGATCACCGAGTGGATTACGCTGCGTAGCTTCGAGTACATTGAAGCGGGGTATCTTTGGCGCGATTGACTGCTCTGCGGTTCCAGGATCTCGCAGGATTTGAAATTTGGAGAAGCGCGTGGGACGGGCGTGGCACAGTAAGCAGAGCAAATAGATAGGGACTCCTCGATCCTTGCGCCGCTTTTTCTGCCATGTAGCGAGCCTTCGTCTGTTACGGGATGCGATTGGATCGTGTGGGCCCACTGGTCAGCCACTCGGAAGTGGGATTATAAAGGGCGTCGCTGCCGATGCGAGGCATTGTTCCCTTAATTCGCCCTCTTTCTCTCCACTCCTTCGCCTTTCTTCTACCTGCTCCCCATGCCTCCGTTGTGACGCCCGGGTAATTAAGCTACAGTGATCGTCTACTAATGATGCCATGTCACCTCGATTATAGTTGCTAATCTCAAGTTAGTTCGAAACCGATTCAAATTCAAATTTAAAATATACTCAAACAACAAAAATTTTGAAACAATAAAACTAAAATGTTCAGGTTGTGCCAAATAATGCGTAGGTAATTATGATGGAGAAACCACACTTTTATAAAATATTTATAATACTATAAGATGAATAAAACTGTAGATAAAACAATTAAATTAAATGCCTTTTGTATTATGTAAAATACTAAACTGTTCTGTTTAGGGTAAATCTTTTTATGGCAGTGGGTTTAGCGCAATGCTAAATTTAGGAGTTGAAATTATATTTTTACAAAATTAAAATAAAACAGAAAAGAAAAAGAAATAAAAGAAAAGAGGTTAACAAAACAGAAAACCTAAACTAAAAAAAGGAAACAACACCCCCACTGGGCTCCGGCCTAGCTGGCCTGCCCAACTGGCCGAAACCAGTCAGACCGGCCCACCCGGTGCCCCCCTGTATAACCCCTCACCCCTGCAAACAC